CTAAGAGCAGTGGGTGTGTGTTGTGTTGGTGTCGGTTGTGGTTGGTGTTGTGTATTTGACCAGGCTAAAAACTGGAGCTGTCCTCTTGCGTTGTCAGACAGCTATATGAACCCAGAGTCGACTGCAGATGACTCAAGAAAAATGTAACCTGACAAGATGAACAAATAGTGTGGGAGGAGCCTCCTTATTCTCCACATTTTTTTTGTCTGATTTAAGCCGTTCATTCACAACTCTGAAAAATCTAAAAAATTATCTGTCAGAGTTATCAAGTACATACCATCAAAGAGAAGGTGAAATGTAGATTTGACCCAGCCCAATCTGTGTAATATCGTGTGAACACACTGGCAATGTCAAAGGTAGGTGATGCCTAACATTTTACCATAGTCACATGAAAATTCATTCCAAAACCATTGCGGCATTAAACAAAGCGCGTTTAAATTTCATCCAGGAAAAACATTGTAAGCTTGTGTTCCATTAAAACATGTTGACTGAAACATTTACAAAGCAAAAAGGTTTGTAAGGTTCTTTAGGATTGAGGTTGGAGACAGAGTGTTGAATGTCACAGATTCTTTAAGGCCCTGAGTAAATGGTGGAGAGAGGAGTTATCTTGCGACAGTAGAGAGTGGACATAATAATGTCGAGATACTGGCAACAGGCTTTAATTGCATTGTCGCCGAACAGGAGACGGACCCTGCTCAACTGTTTTTGACACACTCTTGTCTAAAATAATCCCTGAATGTGTTGTAAGCAATAAACGAGTCAACAGAGCTAAGATTTCCTTCTTGAGAGCGACTGCTGTTTGACCACTGTGAAAAACCTGCCAGCACTCACAAGTATATGCCAGAAAAGTCACGTAAAACATGACAACACATTTTTTCTCGGACCGCATAAACATTGCCAATTATGAGAAAATGCTTATAAATATTTAATCGCCCCAGTGAAAAATGGTAAAATGAATAAAAGTTTTTATTTTTATTTTTGTATAAGTGTGTGTGTGGGCAAGGGAGGCTCCTCCTGTGTGTATGTGTGTGTGTGTGTGTGGGGGGGGGTCACATGAAACATCAGTATTATTAATGCTGCTGTAGTCTCTTCAACAACTGTGGTTCTTATTCATCTGTTTCTGTTAACACATAATTTATGTTGTATTATATGATATTTATATATTATTTAGTATAACGTACATCAGGCCTGGAATTTAGTCATTTTTATGTAAATAAGAAAATACAGATTTATTGGGACACCAAGGGGCAAAACTACCGATGTTATATATAGTGCATAGAAAATGACCTCGACCTAATGCAGCAGTAATATTATTCCATAAACACTATACTGTATATATAATAATAAAACACTGACAGGGACGTTTGACTGCACACTGACTTCTTTCAGTAAATGTTCCTATAATACTTTTACCTCAGTGAGGTTCAGAATATTTGTACTGCAATATTTCCACAGTGGGATTGGTATTAGTACTTTTATATTAATACTTCCTCCTCCTCTGGTGAGCTCACCTACAGCCTCCCTGCCAACTTATTTCTTTACCAAGAGGACGGGACCAGGAGGATGGGACCAGGAGGACAGGACCTGGAGGGTTAGGGAAGAGACCAGGAGGGTTAGGGAGGAGACCAGGAGGACGGGAGCAGGAGGGTTGGGGAAGAGACCAGGAGGGTTAAGGAGGAGACCAGGAGGGTTAGGGAGGAGACCAGGAAGACGGGACCAGGAAGACGGGACCACTCAGTCCATCCTGTGATTTTCTGATTCGAAGCTCTGAGGACAGATTGATCTGTGATATTAGACTATACTATAAATAAGGTTTACGTCACTGTGTGTGTGTGTTTCAGATGAAATCTGCTGATGTGAACTGAAAGCTCAGGAGGATGAGAACCAGTCAGAAGCTTCGTCTGAAGGTCATCTTCACACTAAAGGTCAAAGCTGAGGAGGAAGTGACCTCCTGCAGATATGTGTGTGTGTGTGTGTGTGTGTGTGTGTACCCGTCCCCTGCCACGTTTCTGCTCATGTTCCCGTGTTATGTGTGGCCGATAATAATGTTTTGTTTCTGAGCAGTCGGACGAATAGAGGAGGAATAGATGAGGGGATGAGAAAGGGATCGAGAGAGAGAGAGAGCGAGAGGCAGAAGGACAGATAGAGGACGAGGAGGGAAAAGGTGAATAAGAAACCTAGGAGTGAGAGAGGGAAGAGAGGATGTATAGAGGCTGAGGAACAAATGGATGGAGAGAAAAAGGAGGAGAGCTGCTGCTGCTTAAGGACATAAAGGAAGAAGGAGGGATGGAAGGAGTGAGTGCTTCAAACGAGTATCAAGTATGTACAGTCAGCGCCACTCCAGGTTTCACTTCGACATCACTTCCTGTTGGAGCTGTTGGGTGAACACACATACCTGATCTTTCACTATGACTTTTTTTTACTTTACGTAACTCAGCAGTGACTCAGCGTTGCAGCCTGTGCGTGTTTGTGCGAGCGCATGTGCGTGCGTGCGTGTTTCCTCCCTGTGCAGCTCTCGGATTTAGATATTCAAATGACACGAAATGAGTCAGTGTGAACTCACACAGTTCAGACTCTGCTGTGTCACTTTGTTCCTGCACAGAATGGAGCTGAGTGATGCAGATAAAATCCAGTGTCACTTTATGCTTGACCCAGTATGATAATCAAAATGTACACATACAGATTTCTGTTTTCATTATTGATCAATCTAACAGGCATTTTAATAAATACAGAGCCCATGGGTGTTTTTAAGATTCTTGTTTTGTCCAATCAGCAATCCAAAACCAAAATGCATTCAGGTAACAATGATATAAAACAGAGAAAAGTAGCAAGTTGTGATATTTGTGTTGCTGGAAGCATACAATATTTGGCATTTTTAATTGATGATCAAAATAACTGCCAATAATTTTCTTTTAATTAAGTCTCATACCACAGTATCAAAAAACTTCAAGCATAATCAAGTAATTAGGTGGAAAGGGTTATATACCAGACATCCAGGACAAGATTGCTTTTTCAACAACAACCTTTTACACAAGAAAACATATATAGTATAAATCCACTGACAAACACTGTTTACATTATACACATAATTCATTCCATGTTAAAAAAACAAATCAAAAATGAAATTTGCTTTCAGAACAGCAGAGTAGGATGTTTTTAAAGTCTGTAGGTTTCTCCTTACAGACACTGAAATGAATTTACCAGGAAATTAAGTTTCTTGGAGTTTCTCAAATAATTTGAAATCCAGTAAAACATGTAAACAATACACTGTGTGTGTGTGTGTGTGTGTGTGTGTGTGTGTGTGTGTGAGACAGAGAGGTCAGTTTAACAGGAAGTGTCGTGTCCACAAACAAACTGCCACAAAGAAACCATTATAATCGGGTCGGCTCTGCGTGTGCGAGTGTGAAAGAGAGAGTATGTTAAGATGACAGAGGACCCACTGTGGAAGTGATGCAGCTCATTTCCTTCTTTCTCTCTCTGTGTCAACATTAAGGTTTCCTTCCAAATCTGAGAACATTTTCTAAAAGTTGGTCAGATAATTTAATTACTTGATGTTTGTCATCCATCCACATCCGTAGTTTGAAAAAAATTTTTTTTCCTGTTATCCTGTAAAACATTTTATTGCTGCTTCCAACATTCGTCAAAGAAATCTGTCGATCTACTGATTCCAGAACAATCTTACACACCTAAACAACCAGTGAAAGTTTAACTAGCAACCTACCAATCAGCCAGCAGCCCTTTCAGTATCTTTCACATCTTATATTGTAATTAAACAGGTCAAACAAATGAAAAGTCATATGTGTTGCCAATTGAGGAAAATCTGGTCTATAGTAGTATGGCATTTATATTATAATTTGGAGCTTTTATGTCACAGTAGGTGGCATCAATATGCTGTGAGTGCACTTCTGTAAATAAAAGTAAAGCTAAACGTTAAAAAAGGCCCGGCAATGTCATCATTTGTTAAAACAATCATTTTTCATCGGCTGAATGTAAAAACACTGCAATCTTAAGTGTTTTTTGTGCACCAGTTCAATACACATCTCAATCAGTACCATCTGAAGACATTAACTTCTGTGTCAGTCTGTCCGATGCTGCGATGCTGTAATATGTTTATTAAAAATGCATAATTGGCACTGTGTGTGTTGGTGAGTGCACATGAGCTATTATTGTCTAATAAGTGTTATTGGACAGTGTATCTTATTATGAGAGGACTACTGTGGTAATATAGTGTGTGTGTGTGTGTGTGTGTGTGAAACCTAATATTGTTCCATCCAATTAACCAAGGCTGATTGTGAAAGGAGGTGGTTTTTTTTCTTACATAATTCATTAACAAAATGAGACACACACACACACA